GGTCCCGCCGCTGTGCGCGCTGCTCCCGCTGCTGCTCCTCCGGGCGGCGCAGGCCGGCGCCCTGGAGATTCAGCGCCGCTTCCCTTCGCCCACGCCCACCAACAACTTCGTCCTGGACGGCGCGGCAGGCACCGTGTACCTGGCGGCTGTCAACCGCCTTTACCAGCTGTCCGGCGCCAACCTGAGCTTGGAGGCAGAGGCAGCTGTGGGCCCGGTGGCCGACAGCCCCCTTTGCCACGCCCCGCAGCTGCCGCAGGCCTCGTGCGAGCACCCCCGGCGCCTCACCGACAACTACAACAAGATCCTGCAGCTGGACCCCGGCCAGGGCCTGGTGGTCGTGTGCGGCTCCATTTACCAGGGCTTCTGCCAGCTGCGGCGCCGGGGCAACATCTCCGCCGTGGCCGTGCACTTCCCGCCCGCCGTGCCAGACGCAGAGCCGGTCACTGTGTTCCCCAGCATGCTGAACGTGGCGGCCAACCACCCGAATGCGTCCACCGTGGGGCTGGTCCTGCCGCCGGCCGCGGGCGCAGGGGGCAGCCGCCTGCTGGTGGGCGCCACGTACACGGGGTATGGCAGCGCCTTCTTCCCGCGTAACCGGAGTCTGGAGGATCATCGCTTCGAGAACACGCCTGAGATCGCCATCCGCTCCCTGGACGCTCGCGGAGACCTAGCTAAGCTCTTCACTTTCGACCTCAATCCCTCCGATGATAATATCCTCAAGATCAAACAGGGCGCCAAGGAGCAGCACAAGCTGGGCTTCGTGCGCGCCTTTTTGCACCCGCCGGACTCACCACCTGGCGCTCCGTCCTACGCCTACCTGGCTCTCAACAGCGAGGCGCGCGCAGGCGACAAGGAGAGCCAGTCGCGGAGCCTCTTAGCGCGCATCTGCCTGCCCCGTGGTGCCGGTGGAGACGCCAAAAAGCTCACTGAGTCCTACATTCAGCTGGGTTTGCAGTGCGCTGGCGGCGCGGGCCGCGGCGACATCTACAGCCGCTTGGTCTCTGTCTTCCCGGCGCGTGAGCTTCTTTTCGCAGTCTTCGAGAGGCCCCCGGGGGTCCCCACGGCCCGCGCGGCCCCTGCCGCTCTCTGCGCTTTCCATTTCGCCGACGTGCAAGAGGCTATCCGCGCAGCACGCACCGCCTGCTTCGTGGACCCCGCACCGGACGTAGTGGCCGTGCTCGACAGCGTGGTGCAGGGCACCGGGCCGGCCTGCGAACGCAAGCGCAACATCCAGGTAGGCCAGGTGGCAGGGAGCGGACGGTCTGGCCGTGGGACAGAGAGCAAGCGATCCCTGAGCGATAAGGTGTCAGCGTGCCGGCGCCCAGGTGCGTTCCTGGGACCCAGGTGTGCGCTGAAGGAGACCACAGGTGTTCACTGAGCCACCCAGGTGTGCGCATGCGAGGACTCAGTACCTGTGCGCGTACCTAGATGTTCTCAGGTGCTCAGTCGCCAGACTCGGGCCAAGGACATACCAACAGCCTAGGGGTGCGCGTCGCCATCACTGGTGCACAGGAGTGGGTGTCTGAACAGGAGTATGTACCGGCGTTTCTCGAGGAACTGGAGTTTTGGGAATGGGAAGGTGTATGCGCAGGTGTGCACCAAGGCGTGCACGGGAAAAGGAACAACGGGGAGAAACAGGTGTGTGTGCTCCACTCTTGGGTGGCAGTAAGCTGAGTCTTCAGAGTGTAAGGCAGTCAGGTGCTGAGGGACTTTGTGCAGCCCCGTGAGTGTTCGCTCCAGCAGTACCCTGAGGTCACGGAATTGACAAACAGGTATATGTGCCTCAGGCTAACTTTTATTCAGTCATTCAACATCTACTTGAACTCTTAGTGAGCACATTATATTGTTATTTTCACCCCCGTGGTCCCCATGCCTGGTACATGCTAATGCTAAGTACATGTATGTAATAACTTTCTTACTTCTAACAACAACCCTATAAAGGTAAATTCTGTTCTCTTCCCCGTTTTACAGATGAAGAAACTGAGTCAGAGAGCTTAAATCACTAGCTTACAAATACTGGAAACCAGCAGAGGAAGAATTTCAACCCAGGCTGAATTCAGTGTGTGTGTGTGTGTGTGTGTGTGTGTGTGTGAGAGAGATTGAGTCCCAGGTGACTCAGCTCTGTGTGTGTGTGTGTGTGTGTGTGTGAGAGAGATTGAGTCCCAGGTGACTCAGCTCTGTGTGTGTGTGTGTGTGTGTGTGTGTGATTGAGTCCCAGGTGACTCAGCTGGGTAGGTGGGGTGGGGGGAGGTGAACAAGAGTGTCTACTGTACAAGAGTGTGTATGGGCTAGGAGAGGGCTCCGGGGCTCGTGTGGAGGATGAGGAAAGGGTTGGTGTTGAGCATATACAAGCTGGGTAGCTGTAGGGTTCAGATGTGTGAAACTGAGTTGAGTAACAGCTAGGGTGCAGGTTGGAGAGATCATGTGTGTAGATAGATATGGATATTCGGGTTCTCCGGCTTGGGAGACATAACACAGAAGTGCAGAAAGAAGTTTGCACTTTTGTCAGGAGTTGAGCCTAGCTGTTGACCTCAAGGATCCCCCGCCCCACTCCAGGAAGATGTACTCTCCCAAAAGCTCTGGGAGGGAAGACTGGTGACCCTCAACTTCTACCTTAGAACAAGAAGCTTTGAAATGTACCCTCTGATGTCCTGCCCTGTGCTTTCCCAACTCTGACCCAGGTCTGGGCCTGGAGAGCCCGCTCAGCTCCAGGCACCTGAGGAAGCCTTTGCAGAATGCAGAGTGTCCTCTTCTGGTGACTGCCTTCCCTGGTGGCAAGCGTCTCTGGCCCTCCCTACCCCTGTCCCATCTTCCAGGTCATTGGGTCTCTGAAGACTCACATGGAATTAATTATTCCCCTGTGGGCGTTCCCAACACTGGGGCTTTGAGAAAACTCAGATTCCTTTTGCTGATCTCCAGCGCCCACGCAGCCCACCACCCAGTCTACCATCCTGAAAATAAAGGTCACAGTGGGTGAACTGGGAGGATTGTCGCCGGGACTATCAGCCACATGGGCCTGGGCTAGGGCTGGCCAGGCGTTCTCTTCATATATCTGGTGCCATTCTTGTCCCTGGAGCCCCCACCCCAACACAGCTGTGTTTGAGGCATCTCAGAGTTGAGATGTAAGGGCTGCACGAGAGGGGTGGAGAGTCAGCCACTGCTCTGCAGGCCCTGCTCTGCCCAGGGAAGGCCCTCTGGGACCAAGGCTGGGATTGGGCCACCCCCTAGGCCTTCCTTGGGCAGGTTCCAGGCCCTGTGCCCTGGACCCATGCTGAGTTAATCCATGAGATTCCTCAGCCTCCCAATGTCTTGCCCTCTCTCTGGCAAGAATGATCCAGGTTCCCACGGTCTCATGTCCCCAGAAAGGCCCAGTGCAGTGACTCATCCTGCTGAGGGGGTTGGGGCTTCTTTCTCTCTCCTGGGGGTGAGACTTCTCCAGGGACACAGTCCAAAGGCAGAGTGGCCCAGGGCATCTTTCCCCTATGAAGGGCCGGCAGCTTCCCAGCTGAGGCCCTGCTCAGGCCCCCTCCTGTTGCCCTCAGCCTCCCTCCATCCTTCACAATGTCCACGTACCAGCCTGTGCTGTATCCCCTAGATGTGCCCAAGGTCCTGGTATCTGGGTTTCTAGTACTGTGGGTGAAGGTGTTTTTCTTGCTCCAGATTGTTTCAAACTCTCCAGTTAAGACCTTGCACTTCATGCCAGGGTACCCAGGTTCACAGCCAACTCAGTAGGGATAATAAAAACCCCCTTATCCCAGAGGATTGATTTAAGAACTGAATTAATTTGTGCATGTGATGTACTTAGTACTCGGCACATAGGAAATGCCAGGTGCTGTTGTTATTAATTGTTATTACCCTGGTGGACATCACTAACATAGCTTGGACTTGGTCCCAGATAGCAAACTGTGACCTAATTTATCTTGTTCTGGTGCACTGAAGACTCAATCAATCTCCCATCCCCGAGCCCCAGATTGATTTAGACAGCAAGCCCAAAACATATTTGCTACTTATGGCAAGGTCAATGGTTCAAATCTTAGAAAGATGAGCAGTTTCATAAAGATTTGTAGCGTCAGAAACCTGATGGAAGGCTGGCATGAATCACAACCCACTTGCTAGCAGTGGGTGCCTGCTGCTTGCTGTGCCTCGCGCTCTGCTGTGCACTCCGCTCTGTGGGAAACAGGGCTCACTTTGCCTGTTCTTGTCCAAGGTTCATGTGAGCCACGAAGAGCTGGGCAAGGAAGGCATTTGCCAGAGTGCTGGGAGCCGTGATGAGGGAGCATGGACAGAGGGAACCACAGAAGGGTATTAACACTTACCAAGGGAGTGATATCAAAACAGAGGTGGAAGGATGAGCAGGAGTTAGCCAGGTAAAGCCAGCAGAAGAGGAAAGGGATCACAACAGGGAGAAAAGCCCACACGGGGCCTTATTGCAGAGCTTAGTGTAGAGGGCTTGACAGGGGGTCAGTACGAGTGGGGCCAGTGGGAGGAGTAGGAGAGAAGGTAAGCAGGTCTAGACCCTAGTGGGTACATTGAGGAGTCTGAGCTTTATTCTGGGAACCATGATGGGTTTTAGCCAGAGGATTACCACGATCTGAATGAATGCCTCTGTTCCTTCCTCTTTAAAAGGGAGATGATGATACAATGCTTAGGGCCTTGTGCTGCTGACCTAAAGGTGTCCATCTCAGAGGTTCGAATCTGTCATCAGCTCCCCAGGGGAAAGATGGGCCTTCTCCTCCCGTGTGATTTACATCCTCAGAAATCCATGGAGGGTCAGCTATGTGCTGGTTCTAACTTGACAGTGACTTGAGTTTTTACCTCCGAGGGCTGTTGGGAGGACTCAGTGAAATAATACATGTATAAATACCTGAGGCACACATATATTTGTTAAGTACTGGGCTGGTCTTTTCCTTTAAATACAAAAGCCGTGTATTATCTTAACTATGGATAGAAAAGTAAATCGAGCTTGCTGTGGTTGTTAGGTGCCATCAAGCTGACTCACAGTCTCTATGTCATCCTCACAATCTCTGCTGCTGTTAAACTCATTGTTTCAGTCACTGTGTCAATCCCTCCTGTCTAGGGCCTTCCCTCCTTCATCGATCCTCGTCTTTTTGAGCATGATATCCCTTTCCACAGACTGGCCCTTCCCGATAAAAAAGTACAAAGTACTTGAGAAATTGCATCACTTTTGCCTCTTAAGGAATGCCGTGGCTGACCTTCTTCCAAGACAGATTTGTTTGTTCTTTTGGCAGTTCATGGTTTATTTCATGCTCTTCAGCAACACCACAGTTCAGAGGCCTCAGTTCTTTGACCTCTTTTATTCATTGTCTGACTTGTACAAACACAGAAAGTAATCGAAAAGGCCATGCTTTGGGGCAGATGCACCTTAGTCTTTAAAGTGACATCTGTGCTCTGTAGCACTTGAAAAAGGTCTTTGGAGACTATTTTTCCAAGGCAATACGTTGTTTGGTTTCTTGACTGCCATTTTCATGAGTGTTAATTGTAGATACAAGTAAATTGAAATCCTTGGCCTTAATATCTTCTCCATTTATCATGATGTTGCCTGTTGCTCCCGCTGTGAAGACTTGTGTTTTTTTGATGTTGGAAACTCACATTGAAGGCTTTATGGTCTTTGTTCTTCTGCAGCAAATGCTCCAAGTCTTCACTTTACATAAGCAAGGTTGTGTCATCTGCATAAGCAGTTGTTAATGAGTTTTCCTCCAATCCTAATGCCCCATCCTCCTGGTTATAATCCACCTTCTTGGATTATGTGCTCAGTATACAAGTTGAGTAGGGAGTTCTGGTGGTTTAGTGGTAAGGAGTTGTGCGTGGTTCAAGTCCACCAGCTGCTCCATAGGAGAAAGATAGTCTCTTCCCATGTGATTTACTGCTTCTGAGAACCCGCTGGGGGATCAGCTATGAGTTGATTCCTATTTGACGATGTACAGACTCAGTAGGTATTGAGAAAGGATACCCTGAGACACTCCTTTTCTGATTTTAAACCGTGCAAGGTTCCCCGTAATTGTTCTGAAATTCCCATTCTTCTCAGAGTTACCCATAATTTATTATGATCCACACAGTTAAAAATTGGCTCACTCCTATCAATAGGATGGAATATAAATTTAGCTGACATCCATACATATTTAATATCAGTTAGTGTGCCAGTATGAGCTTTACTTAATAAACACTTAAGAATTGTTTTGATTGGATTAATTTTATTTTTTAAAAAATTTTATT